TGCTTACAATAAATAGCTTGATGATGCTTGGGTAAGTCTAGAAATATCCTAACTTATTCCCAGGTAAGAAAGTGTAGCAGTAAGGTTAAGATAGGATCATAACCACACATTCAGACTGGTTTTAAACGGATACATTTAGCTAACATCACAATTCTAGGAAGGTTAAATATCCATATACAGCACATTTTCAACAATACAAAAAAAAACTGAAAAACAGTCAAAATAGTGGAGGTGAAAGTGATAGGATAAAAACAGCTATATCTATCTATATCTATATATAAATATACATTACTAGGGGGCTTAGAAACCTGTGAAAATAAATATGAAACTGTTGAATGAAAAACACTGAATAGGAGCACACACTCGAGGTGAGCATTACGTTTTGAAAGATAATATAGAGTCATAAGATGTGGAAAAAAGCATCATTAGACTATGATTTTTTTATTTTTAAACATACAATAGGGCTGGGTAAAAAAATTGATTAAATGGATTTTGGTTCGATTCCTTTACATTTTTGCAAAATCGATGTCTAGGGAATGAGATCGATTAGTTTTATAGTGACGCGCGTGACGTTCACATTCCAATAAGCAGGAAAGATGCACTCAAGATGACTTCAAGCCAGACAGCTGCAAATAATGAATGAAGACATTAACAAATGGGGGCTGACCAGCAAACACCCTGTAGTTGATACAGATAAGCTGCAAATATGGTTTTTGCAGTGAAGATAATGCAGCTCATGCATGTCTGCTGTGTCCCCACTGTGTCACTGTGCTGCTTGCTCGAGTGAGGCTTCACTTTTTCACTTTTCACAAACAAGTTTGCACTTTTGAGACAGTTTTGTTCCCATCTCAAGTTTAAACTGTCTGATTTACAAGTTTGCATTTTGCATTTAATATGACAGGAAAAAATAAAACACATTAGTATTTTGAAGCACAGTTGAACCACTTTCATTATTGTAAAAACAGATTGAATCGAAATTAATCGATTTAGAACTGTATGAATCAAAATCAAATCAATTCAGGACTTTGCTGAAAATACCCAGCCCTAACAAACAATACTGCTGCTGTAATTTTGCACATCTCTTATGTTGCTGCTATATTTAAATATCCATTACTATAAAAATGTTAATAGCTGTATATTGGTTATTTATTCTCCAGGTGCACAGTATTTATGTTCAATCACTTTACAGTACAGTATTTTATTGTTTATCTTTTAGCTATTATGTTATTCTTATACAGTTTTTGTCATTTGTGTGACAATTTTTTCCATAATCTTTTTACTACTGTAAACACCCGAATTTCCCCATAGTGCGACAATAAAGGGATATTCTATTCAAAATTAATCAACATTACACCCAGAACTGTTTCAATCCATCAATAAAAGGATAATCGACTTTAATGATCACTGCCAAATTAGGATGAAATTTAAGCAACATATTCTCATTATCAGTTCGTATGAAATCGTACGAAAAGTTTTGCACACTATTTCGTACGTTTTTCCTAAAAATAAAAAAACAGATCAGTGCGCATGCGCAGGCAGACGACAAAAAAAGCAGCCCCGCGGACGGACGTAAAACAGTGCAATAATCACTTCTTCATGTCTCTAACTACGTTGCTTGCTGTTTTATATCTTAGGGTTAGGGCTAATTGTATTTTAAATTCTATGTTCTTGAATGGTGCGTAAGATGCGCATGCGCATACGACGAAAAAAAAGTCCAAAACGTACGAAATTACGGTGCATAACTTTTCGTACGATTTAATACGAACTCATAATGAGAATACACTGAATTTAACTCTTCCCCTAAGGCGCAATGGCAAGCATGGAGCAATCTGGGACTGAAGGTGTTGTGGGATTTAAACTCTGCTTTAATCATAAAAACTAACACTCCCATAAAGCCTTAAAATGGACGTTTCTCTCTGATCAAAGCTGTAGATCTGTAGCCCATAGACATTACAAGCTAACTAAAGTGTTTCTACCTTTCTGATAGCAGACACTACAGATGACATGGCCACAGGAGCTCACTGCTAGCTTACACTCAGAACTTGGATGGAGAAAGCAGGAGTTGCAGCAGACCCAGTAAGACATTAGCAGACCTGAAAGTGAATAAAATCAGTATTATATTATTGAGAAATTATTGGTGTATCTAATTTTCTTTGTTGGTTATAGCACTGAATCTTTGTTTCAGGCAGTAGCAGGCAACAATGTTCAGATTACTCTAAAGGGAAGCTAAGAGCTAACTTAGCATGCTAACATTATGCCAACAAATTAATCAAAAGTTAATTCATGTATTTGTTTCATTGTTAATTACCTGTTATAAGTCTGTAATCAGCAGGTCTTTTGAATTTATTAATATAATTTCACATAATTATCGGTCAGTTTTTCTTCTTTTTCATTTCTGCTTTTCTTCTTCCTCTACTTCTTCTTCGATGACACCTGACAAGCTGCGTGAAGCTCGCTCCAGCCACTTTTTACTTAATTTGCGCGTTCCCGAGTATGGAGGACCAATCCTGCCACTAAAACTAAAAAACTAAATAAAAATAAATACAGAAATAAATAAATGCTCCGAAAATAAATAAGCTTAAAATTAATTGCCCCCCAAAAATACTATAAAAAAATAAATGCAGATAGAAATTAAATTATACATTGAGACATAAATGTATATATCTCTTTTAATTTGCTTCTTTGTTTTTTTCACCTTTACGATAATTACCTTATTTATTTATTGTCTGTTATAATCTTCAACTTTATTTATGTATTTCTGATTTTTTTTTTAAGTATTTATTTATGTGCATGTTATAATATTTTTTTCTGGTTTTTCCCTATTTATTTCTGCAGTGCTATGTATTTCTGCCTGTCGTATTTACATTTCTGTATGCATTTCTTTTTTTTATTTATTTAATAGATAGAAACATTATTGCTGTAAAACGACATCCTCAAAGTCTGGACAACTTACATATATTAATTAAAATCAAAAGACAATTATGTGGCAGTAAAAATAGGATGAATATGAGGCAATTTTTTTCATATCTTTTTTGAGGAATTTGGAGAATAGCAAAATCAACAACCAGGGAAGCAAAGGTGTGCAAAAAAAATTTATTTTTATTTTTTTATCCCCAGATCAATTTTAATAAATTTGGATTAATTCAGCCCACCCACCCCAAAACTACCACACACAGAAACAAGCATCTTATTTTTATTTATTTGTTGAGACATTTGGAGGAAACAAACCTTTTTTACAAAATTAAAGCAAGTAAAACTAAAGCTTTTCCACCTGAGGATTTCTGATTTCTGAACATATTGACAGTCGACAAACTTTTTTATCTTACATACTCACAGGGTATTCACACTATAGATATTTGTTAGAAAGAAAAAAGAAAAAAATTGTCTAGAAAATGTTCTTTGTTGTGCTGCTATTATCTAACTGGATTGTTATTTGAGCAATGTGATGCACTATCAGCATGTGGAACAGAGAAACAACATCTGACATCAGTACATAGTGATGATGATGATTACTACTATAGCACTGAAGACTAACTAACAGGAAACCTTTCCTCATATCTTTTGGAAACTGACACACAATAACAACACTTAGCCATAAAACATAACAACAATACTTTTACTAGCATATTTATAGTGCTTAAAGGTGGGTTTGACTGGGATAATTCACCGATTCATTAATTTAACAGGAATTTAAACTAATTTAACATGAATTCTGCACCTTTAAGTCTCAGATAGATCAGTAACGAAAAAGAAATTTAAAAGGTTTGAGGAGAAATAAATCATTTAGAAGGCTGTGACCAGGTGTTAAAGATAATAATAAAATGCAAAAAATAATTAAACTTTATTGATCTCTCATTGAAGAAATTTACCTCTGCATTTAACCCATCCCCTTGGGGAGCAGTGGGCTACCATCATGGGGTGCCCGGGGAGCAATCAGTGGTTAAGGGTCTTGCTCAGAGAACCAGAGAGGCAGTCTGTCAGAGTAGAGCTCAAACTCAGAACCTCAGAAGCTCTATTCCCTAACCACTATACCACCGCTCCCCTAAGATCCTGCCCTTAATAAAATTACACATCCCACAGAGTTACTCCAATCAGTTGTGCTTGGGCTTCTTTTCTTCCCACTCAGCTCAGTGTCGGGTAATGATGACTGCTATCGGTGCTCTAGCATGCTGTCCTTTCTATTTTCAGGCCTGGAAGGAGAAGTTTTAAAGTACTTCATGATGTACATATCTTCTAAAGGCAATAACTGTTTTAATACAATATAGTGTTTTTTAGCCTTCTCACCATAAAACACTGCCTGTTTTGGAATATCAGCAGGAAGAAACACCTGGTTCCTGCACTTTTTTAAGATGTTTCTGCTTCCAAACACCTGAATTATTTGGCTGAACAACCTCCTCTGCAGTCAGTTTCTCCATATGCCTGCTAGTTAATGACCTGGGGCTATAGTTAACAAATATCTTGGAATTAGTCTTAAGATCAGTCTTTAGACTTAAGAGCAAAAAAATACATAAAGTTAAAAGCTGTACTTAAAATATTATTTATCTAGTGTGTCTCTCACAATTGAAGCAAAGTGTAGGACGAAATCTTAAGTGTGATTCTCAGAGCTAGTTTACGATGTACAATGTACCTGGTGCTGTAAATGGAATTTTAGATGATGTCACTTCTTAAGTCCACTGAATCGACCAATATCTGAAAGGAGCTGTTAAGTGATGGTTGTGATGGCCCAGTGTACCGTAAGCTCCAAAATTAAACAACCTAAAAATCTGCTTATTTGATATGCCTATTGAAAACATTAAATGAAAAAATATTAACAGAAAATTGAACACAGTAATGAATTAAATAAAAAATGTCCTTAATAAATATATTTAATCAAATGCAGCTAAACCTTGTTTTAAGGAAACATTAACACTTTATTTTGTGGAACTATCAAATCACTGACTAATATATTTTGATCATTAAATGAATATCATAAGTAACTTTAAAATAGACACAAAAGTATGTAAAGTAGTAAAAATTAATTTTATTCAAAAAGACAATAATTTATTTTGTTAATCCATTGTTCATTTTCCCCAGGGTAATTGTACCGTCCATTTTTAATTATCTCAAATGCAAGTGCCTTGATTTTCCACTTCAAGTCCTAAAAGAATGTTTATATGATGGAACAGAAATAAGCTAGGGATGAGGATAGGGATCCACATAGTAATGACAAGGAGATTCATTGATTTTTTCTTACAAAAGTCATCATCACACCAGTTTTTTGGCTATGAAGAAGTCTTTGAGTCGTTTCATCTGCCAGAAGCCAACGGAGAGAAGAATGAAGGTTTGTATCACAGCCCACCACGACACTTTGCTGTTGGTTTCTTCACTAATTTCACGAAAAAGTTCCTCCTTTTCCTAAATGAAAAAGCAGGAATAATGGTAATTCTTGAACTTTCTTTTAGGAGGTTCTGGAATCAGTAAAGGATGTTTTTGTAAACAAAGAGCATAAATCCTACCCTGTTGTACTCCTGCTGGCTGGTGATGTAGGTCATCTGACTAATGAGGTGTTGGAGATTGCTCTCAAGGGTTTGCAAGTTGTCTTTGGTTCTGTCAACATTGGGATCAATCGAGTGCTCCCCCATCTGAACGTCTAAATGCAGCTTCTGTGAAACAAAAGGGTGAGCATTAAGAGGAATGGAAATAATCTGCACTTCTTTCCTTTTTTTTTTGATATTTTCTAATTAATATTTTTTTTTTCCCTGCTTCCACAGGTCTCACCAGCCGTTCTGCTGCAAAGACAGAGAACCTTGTGGAGTTGGTTTGGAAGCAGAGATAGTGCTGACCAGAAGCGTGAGCTGTGAAGGTGAACTTTCCAAACGCTCCGTAGCGTTTGGACATCTGAAGCTGGAGAGAGAAGAAAAACTCAAACTCTATGACTTTTCCCTGATACTTTATCTGGATATATATATCTTGTGTCTTGTGGGAAAAATGTGTGTTACTGGTCAGTAATTGGATTCTGTCACCTCAAGTGAGGCAAAAAATTTCTCTGTTGTTGCAGAGAATGATATGTAGGCATCTTTATGAGCTGAAGGTAAGTTAACTTTAAGGTAAAATGTAGATAGAGTTTTGTGTGTGAAACAAAAATCATTAAGGTAAAACTCAAACCCGCTGTTCTAATTAGACAAACAGCTCGTTAGGATCTCAGTGACGTGCAAAATGTGTTTCATGTCTCGTTCTACATTTTTTATTATACCTTGATTCAGCACCAAACACACAGCGTGCTACATCGTAATGGAGACAAAGGTCGTGTTCGTACCTCATAGCTTGGGTCTCTTACTGTAATGGTGACACCAAGGTGAGGCGAGTGGCTGAATGACCTCACATCCAAAGGCTCTAAGAAGAAGTTGCCTTCAGGTAGGAGACACAAACCAAATAAAGCAATGCTCAGTACTCTGTAATAACCTCCTGTTGTCATCATCATTATTTCATATCTGAGTTATAGAGGTACAAACTTTGTTGTGTTAAACTGAACGGCAGCAAACTCCATGTTTATATTTGTGATTGTAAGACGGAGAATGTGTTTTCGCAGCACTGCTCCATAATAACCATTTGGCATGGTTGCTATGGTGACATATGGTGAAATCTTTAACTTTCAAACAAGTTTGGAGATATTTTCCTTTCTCCCCATCACTGACTTATGATCTTGTTTTCTCCTCCTGAATGAATACAATCGAAATCATGGCCGCAGGAAGTGCGGGTTTTGCAGCAACCCCTAGTGGCGTAAGGGAGGTTTAAACAAATGTATTAAAAATACTTTGCCCAATTTATACATTTCTTATGAATATTTTGGGAAATGATTTTGACTTTTTGTATTTTACTATTACGTGTATTTGGATTTTTATTTAATTATTTTGAGGCCCAATCAACCCAAGTTCACGGAAGTTACATTGTCAAGGCAACGTCAAGCAAGGTAGTGGTCTGACTAAAGAGGTATCCCGCTCGCAGCAGCAGCCTAGTAAATACTGTTGCGCTGATGCAATTTTTTGTCCCCCTTACTGATATCTGATACCTGGCTTTGCCGTACCAGTCGATACCGATACCATATCGATACCATCTGTTTGAAACTGACGTGTGTGTATATATGAAGAACTGCATAATACTTGGATGTAAAATAATTACCATCATGGTTTTGTCAAGCTGCTGCCTACCTTTGTGAAGCAGGAAAAAGACTAATACAAAGTGAATCCAGTAGAACTTTTTATTGCCTACCTGGAATGGGTGACAATAGTTGAATAAACTTTTGCCTCTTATAATGGAATCGGTGCCCTATGTGTCGGTACTCGCCGATACCGATACCACCATTTTAGTGCTGGATCGGGGACCTTTCGGTATCTGTACAACACTACCAGTAAATGTACATAGTCTAATGACAGAAACAAGGAGGAAATATGGCACAGAAACGCATTTCAGATTTGTCTGCTCATGAGAGACTTTATATCCACAACCTGAAAGCGTACCTGAACGTTTGGACACCTGTAACCAGGCAGGGCACCCTACCTGTAGCTCCAAGTAAGAGCATGGTGCTATTTTAGAGTGTTATTTTGATATTGTGTTCTTTGTGTAATGGAGAATTGTTCAATAACATTAGAAAAGTATAATAATATCAGTATTTCCTTGTGGTTTGCGTAATAGAGTCACGTGTTTTTTTTATATTGTTACTGTGAAGTTTAATTAATAGTGTGTATATTCAACAGAGAACTGATGATGTCTGAGTGTTACAGACCCTGATTAGGTGCACTGAAGTGTATATGACAATAAAGTAGTGAATCTCAATCTATTTACTTATTTCTTTTTATTGTATTTCAAATAAGCCTATAGGCTCATAGGTCTTTTGTCAAAAAAAAAAACCCTGTTCAAAATTACTTCCAGCGGTCCTGATCAAAGTTAGAATAAGTAAATGTATTTTTTTTTCTAAAGGTTTAAATGTAGCATGGTCCTGTTGTAAAATATTTTAATATGGAAACTTTTAAAAAAAATTTGGAAAAGTTTGTCCACCTCACTGCGTTTTTATATATTTTAGAAGTTTTTAAATTACTTTTTAGTAAAGATGGAGTCAGTTTCTCAGAGACATGAATAAAACTAGCTACTATGGCTGATGAGGTAAAGTGCAGACGTTTACTGAGGTGCACTTGTTGTTTGACGTTATTGGTTAGTTACAGATTAAGATTATTTTGGCACATTTAAGAACAGAAATTCTGCTCTGGGAGATGTTTTGAGACTCACCTGACACTAGAGTGTCTTCAGGAATCTCCTCAATGATGCACTTTTGCTCCTTCTCTCCCAGATAAAAATACATCCCTGCAGCCAACATCAGGTAACACTGGAGGAGAAAGCCGACCCCCTGAAGACTCATTCTGTTCTCTGACAACACTTAAATGTTTGACTAATAGAGGTTAGTCTAACTCACACTTTATTGCTGCCTCATATAACTGTCCAAGTGAGAAACTAAAGGAGTCAGTTTAACCGTGAGAAACGCACAGGTGCTACTTTATGTGACGAGTCATTCTGGCTGCCCTGTGATTGGTTGATCTAAGAACCAATAGCAAAGCTTCATTTTCTTAAAATATGACTTATTTTCCCAAAACAGACGAGGTATTGTGGTACTAATACAATCCACATTAGGCCTGACATACAGAGTCAGACATAATGTTAGGGATGCCATTTTTCTGTGTTTGACACAGCAGGACACTTTACTAATTTAACCTTTTTCTGTCCATAAATAAGAGGAACTGAATGTATAGAAATGACCAAGCACAAACAATACAACAATTTACCTGAAGCTGACATTCCACTAAATATGTTTCTCAATTAGATCATCCAGATATTGGCATTTTTGACCATTCCTCTTTTTATACCACAGGTAGGTCTGTCCATATTTGGACTCTCATGAGAGCTCTCTGTTTACTGTATCACTATCAAGTTTTAGCTATATAAAGTACACTAATTTAATATGCAGACTCGGTTTTTATTTAAAAGCTTATTTGGAGGAAGGGTTAAAGAGATTCAGCAGCTTACGGGGGGCTTCCATCTTTTTCAATTGTCAAAAACTAACTGACAATTAACACAGGCTGTTTCCATGAGCAGGGGGGGGCCTTTTTAATATCATTATCGGATAGAAGACCAAAGCTTGCTGTGAACATACGCCTTGCATTTAAATGAGCTCTCTGTAACAAGTCATCCTTCAGTCTTAACAGCAGCAGACGACCATCTGAGATACGGTATACCCAGAGCATTAGTAGTGGAAAAAGTAGGCCAGAATGACTTCATCAAAATCTACCAATATTGCAATTGTGACTTTACTTTGTTATTAGCATCAGTTTTGTCATTCACTTGAAAACTTGCTTGTTCAAAGCTGATTTTTGCAAGACTTTACTGTAACCTTTTTTCGGAAAAGTGCTTCTTTCTACCTGCATGCATAGATATAAGTGCTAGCTGGATGTTTCATTCCTTTTATTGTGGTAGCAAAACCACTTTAATATATTACTTAAAGGGCTGCAGTGAGAAAGTCTCTTACTTTTGTTAAATGTAACATTGAGTGCCTTTGCGATTTGAAAATCACATTATCTTAAATAGTGATTACATTGCAGATCCAATTAATTGTTCAGCCCTAGAAAAAAAGTTTGGTACCTCAGTAGAGAGAGACTCAGCTGATCAAAAGTACCTGGATAGCAACAGAAAACATGGGTAGAAGAATTTTTTCCATAAAGAAGAAAAACCCTTTCATAGCAAAAGAATGAGGGGCTTTTTTGATATCTAGAATCACCATGGAGAGAAAACTGCATGGAAGTGAATACATGAGGTCTTTTGGGAGCCTCAAAAGTTGAAAGTCTTGATTGAACTCTGCCAATAAATGTCTAAAGGGGAACATTCTCTTTACAGATGAAAGCAAGATCAGCATCCAACAGGTAACAAAAAGAAAGAAGGATGTGGAAGACCTCCTGATTCAAATAAGAATCAAGTGAAACATCTAAAAGATTGTTTTTTTTCTAGTAATGTTCTGTATTTAAGTGAGACGGACTTCCCATCCCCACATGACGCTGTCACCACTATATCTTGCAGTGGACAATGCACATTCATGGTGATGTGCATTGTCAGCACTATTTGTGCCCCTGCATGTAGGACAGAATAGTTCAGTTTAGGTCTCATCTGATTTTTGCACCTTCTTCAACGTGTTGTTTATCTCCTTGGCTTTGCCTACACGGCTCATCCTAGTCTGGCTCTGCAAAGGATGGCATATTTGATAGGCTATAGCTAAAAGCACCAAAGAAGAGCTCTGCAAAGGATAGCCTGAGGGTCCAAACATGCTGATGAGTGAATAGTGATTCATTTAGAGGAAAGGCAGTTGTATCAGCTAATTATTTTTGTAATATTAAAACCAAACATGCAGCTCTTCTAGTATAACTATGGTGAGTCTGCAGGTGGCCCATCTTCTCTCCATGTCCAGATGATAGATTGATCATAGTTCTGGGAGATGAAAGCTTGGAAGATTTTACTAAAAACAGTGGTCGACAACACGTTGCCCACGGTCACCAGAGTCCCCCCCAAGGACCACATGAGGTTCCCTAACTCTTCTTTTATTGACAGAACAACCCATCAGATGCTGAGTTTTTGCTGAGAGATTTTATCTGTTAATCTTCTTTTTTCATTTATGTAGTTTTTAAAAAAAGATAATTTCTAAACTAAACATTAAAAACATGTTTCTTTCACATAAAGTTTAGTGAAATGCAGACTCTCCCAGTTCATAGGTCAGCACTGGTAGCACTTCTTATGACTCTGTACCTATAAAGTATCTCTGAGCTTCAAGAGAGTTGCTGACCAGAACCTAATACTGTTTTAAACTGAACCAGGTCTTCCTTCCTGACTTGTCTGCTGCACTAATGGTCTGTGAGGGATTTACACAAACCAGCCAGAAAACCACTGAAAGTTTTTTTAAAAAAGTCTTAATTTATTCCAAAAAAAGTGCTCAAAAAATGATAAACTGGGTCCAAAAACAGAGGTCAACAAAACAGAATTCAATTCAGGCTTTAACTTAAAGAACTCAAGCACAAACTGACCAAACAAGACGTGAGGGAAACTTCAATAGTGGCTGATCAGACCACTGTTGAGACACAAGGGGGATAACTGACTAACAAACAAATAAACTTATTTAAACAGATTTACAGTACTTTTTAAATTTAACTAATTAACAAAATTACCGAAACTAAGAATATTTAAAGAAATGATAAACAAATTTCCCTTCCCATTACAAATGGTTTGACCCGCTGATTAGCCTGCAATAACCAATTGAGGAAAGCTGGAGCTCATTGCAGCCTCCACCAGCAGATCCAAAGGAAACTGGCAACTCAAAGAAAAAAATTAATTAATCAATTACATCTTGACAAAAAAAACCACCTGACAAATAAAGTTAACTAAATGTTGGCACTGCAAAAAGCTAACTTAAAGTCACGCTAATGAAAATATATGAAATGTGCAACTCATTTTGAAAATAAAAAATTATAGAAGTCAGCACACAGTTTCAGAGTGTGACAGCAGGCTGTCACATGGTCTTTATGAAACTTTAGGGGTTTCAGAGTTTCCCAAATAAAAAAACACTAAAATGTGTAGCTTTTCATTGGTAAAAGGAAATATCTGTATGTGCCACATAATAAAATCATGTATCTCCCCATGAAGATCCTTTTGGTTCTGCATCATTAAAGCCGTCTGCCAGCAATGCTTCATATATTGTCTCTCTCTGTATTAGTCTTTTTTTATTTATTTCTACTTTTTTTTCCAAACAGCAGTGTGCTATGGTAATAATAACAAAAGCATCTCAACTCCATGTGATACATTGACACTTTATTAACTTTACAAAAAAAACACAGATTTTTGTGACATTCTTAAATTTTTTTTATCGTTTTACACAAACACCGTTAGACATATATCTCAATGTTAAAACTGTATACAATTTAATACTTTTAGACTTGGGAAACTGTACAAAACAGGTTAAAATCCTGTCAATAAATATTCCTTTTCTGAAGGAAAGCAACTCAAACCCAGTATGTCTGTAAATAAGCTGCACATGTCAGTTCTGCTCTTATGAAGATTTAGTTTTGGTCAAATGTAATTTAGTAGGATTTCAATGTTTAACACCACATTTAATACCCATGTGTTTTCAAATTTCTCTGTCATCCCATCTGAAGTCATTTCGATAATTTATCAAAACTAAGTTGGTGTCTATAAGACTATTGCTACACTACACCTGTTTAGTACTGCTATGTCTATTAGAATGACTCAGGGTGGGAATTCTTTCTTGGTTTAATCAACATCAGAGACAAATAATGGCCGTTTACGCCTCGTGTGAATAAACTGTAGACCTTTTGTGGTTCTTTGAACGTCTGCGGCCATTCCTTCCTTTCCTGTCTTTCTTTTTCCTCCTCTCCTTCCTCTCCTTCCTCTCTCTCCGGCCCTGGCCTAGTCATAAACAGTTGTCCGGGGAGCACTTCCTCTCCTCCTCCAGCAGGGGGCAGGCTGCACCGTTGTTAGCTGGGTGCATGATGACGTATCTGGTGCGGTGCTGGACACCTGAGTCTCCACACTTGCCTTTGCACAAGCCCCATGGGGACCATGGTGACACCTCACAGTCCAGAGGGGTGTCTGTGCAAAAAAGGACATTAGAGTTAGTGCAGCCTGGCAGACAAATATATCTTACCTCCTGCTGTGCAACACAACTCTGTTTTATGTCTGAAGGATTGTTTTATGAGTTTGGATAGAAATAATAAAACTTGGCTGTAATGGAAAAAAAACATAGCTTCCCTCAAGGATTTATTTGTGTTTAACGGCAAATAAAACAAAAACATGTACTTACAGTAACCGTTGCCATGTGAGCTGTGCAGCAGTTTATAAAAACCTGCAGTCTCTGACTGAGCTGATGGAAGTGCTTTTAATTTGGATTTACCTTCAATCATTCGTTGAATGTTTTTGGCTGCTTTCTTTGCTAAAGAGCACCATAAACCTAAGTAGTCGAAAACGGCTGTTTCCTTCATTTATTGTTCTTGTAAACTGAAGGAAAAGCCTCTTATTCCTCCTTTGCTTTTTGGTTTTCTTTTTACTGACTCTCTGAACTTCCCCTGCTGCATCCAACCACCTTTAGAGTTTAGGTAGAGCGGATGTGTATTACAGTTGTGGGTTTCAAAGTGGAAAAGCAGAAGGTTTGGAGGCGGTATGGAAGTTGCAGAGATGGGTGGATGGATGCAGAATGTCAGGCAAGGCTGACTTTAATGTTTCTTTTTATCACGGCTTTCTAAGGTTGGGAAAACAGAAGGATGAGCTGATAAAGCATGGTTTGAGTTTTCTTTCTCAGATCAAAAGCTGAGCAGGTGATTGGTTGTATTGAAGGAAAGCATGGGCATACACTCAAGAGACGTGCTCCAGACAAGCCGAATTGAGGGATAAACAGATGGAGGAGCAGTATGG